TACTCCTTCCGTCCGCCATAGATCTACTTTGTGTTCTTTATTTATCAAACAGGAACAACAAACACCTAAACTGATCAAGATCAAAACCTGCATCATCTATTAATTATTTTAACCCTGCTGCATCAACAGTCACCAGCACATAAATGTCATCTACAACCGCTAGTTAGTCATCTCTATTAAGTTTTCCGCATTATGAATAATAAGCTAGTGATCATTTCAAGGCTAAGCTAAAAATCATGTTTATGTCTAAGTTAAAGGACGCCGTTAACGCACAACCAGTCGCGCGCACTAGGAACACGTGACCCAGCTCCACGTCTTCTTCCTCCACCGCTGCCCCGGAGAGTGGCTCTCTTACCGCTGGCCGCGCCACCCATCGCCTGCCCTCGCCGCTCCGTCCCACCCTCCCCTAACCACATGGCAGCACACCGACGGCGTCCTCATCCTCACCCTCGCCCTCGCCCCAGGCCCCACCACTTACGGACAGCGGCGAGCCACCTCGCCACGCCACCCTCAACCCGCCCCCGCCTACCCTAATCCCAAGGCAGGGCACCGGCGAGCTCCACCATGACGCCTCGGCCCAACCGCCTTCTCCCAGCCGGCCCGAGGCGGGCGGCGCCCTTGCCGCCATCTCTCTTGCCGCCACCGCCGTGTCACGGCCGCGTCCCACCGAACCCCCTTCTAGAGCCATCGGAGATGAGTTTCCCTAACCGTCGGAATCCTAACCTTCACGTCGCCGCCGTCTTCTTCCTCTCCGGCGGGGCGTGGGACGGGCGCATGGGTGTGGTCACATGGGAGAGGGAGAGGGTCGCGCGTCGTCCGCGCTCCGCGCGACGGTCGCGTATTACCTTTTCCCTAAGGTCCCGTTTGGAAGTAGACATTGGGACCTTGGATTTGGCTTTGGCATTGGTACCCTCAAATTCCATTGTTTGGATGATACTAGAATTGGTCCAAGGCATTGGCGCCCAATATCGCGGACCTTTCCCGCACAAAGGAAAGAGCCCGAGGTCTCCCGCTCTATATTGGCCCGAAATTGCTTCCCCTCACTTCCCCGACCCCCGCGCGTACCCCTTAGCAACCCACACTCTGCGCACTCGGGGAAAAAGAAGAGTGAGCGACTCGCAAGAGAGAGGCGGCGGCGATGGTGGAGGCGACGGGAGGTTGACCCCCACGATGAAAGCGCTATCTCCCAGCGTCCTCTCCTGGCGTCCTCGTTCTCGTGCATCTTCGACCATCCTCCATCATTCTCCCTCTCTACAAGTACGTCTTCTTGCTACTCTCATCTACTTCCCCTTTCCCGCTGAATCCTCCATCTTTAATCTGCACCTCCCTCGCGGATTCATCCTTGTTCTCTTTCCCAATCACTTGTCGGCATCCAGATCGATTGAGGCTTCTTTTCTTCTCCCTCCATCGATTCACTCTTTTCAAACCCTAACCTCTTTTCTCTGGATTTAGCAGGTTACTTCTGTCAAGTGTTCGTTGTTCCTCATTCCAATGGAAGGTATGTAGTGCCTAAAATTGTTATGTTGTTGGTGTTCCTAAATGATTTTTTTCATGCCGTGCTCTTTGAAAATCATGTGTGTGCCTGCCTGTGTGCATTGTAGCTGCATTATGTCAGATCTTGAGTTGGTTTCCTTCATTAATGAAGAAAACAAAAGGAGAAAGAGGAGGAGGATTATATTCATAGAACTATACTTTGAGGCAGTTGTTCTTGGGCTTGCATATCTTAGTTCGCAGCGGGGGCCAAGGGATTTAGGGTGCTTTAATGATGATGAGCGCAGACATACTCTTAGGAAGTATTTGCTGAAGGAAATGTATGATAGTTCTGAAGTTACATGCTATGATGAGCTATGTTTAACTAAAAGAAACTTTCATGACCTGTGCATCATGTTGCGTGAAAGGTGTGGTCTTCGTGACAGTGTTTATATTGCTGTGGAAGAAAAGGTTGCTATGTTCTTACTGGTAGTTGGGCATGGTATAAAAATGAGGGTGTTGCGTGGCACTTATAAGTGCTCTTTAGAGACTATCAGTAGGCACTTTTCTGATGTGTTATCAGCTATTCTATCTTTAAGTGGAGAGTTCATTAAGCTTCCTGATCCTTCAATTCAACCTTCGGATGATTACAAGATGGAAGTGGTTTGGCAATGCTCTTGGTGCATTAGATGGGTGTCATGTTGATGTGTGTGTTGATGTGCCTGACCAAGGGAGGTACAGAAACAGAAAGCAACACATCACCACTAACATGCTAGGTGTGGTTGACTGGAACATGAAATTTCTGTATGTTTTGCTTGGTTGGGAGGGTTCAGCTTCTGATTCAAGAGTTCTGCGTGATGTAATGAGTCGCCAAGATGCATTTGTTGTACCTTAGGGTATGACCTTTACACTTGGCAATTTATTTCTTTGTTTTGTTAGCTATCTAATTTAGTTTTTTCATAATAGGAAAATATTATTTAGTTGATGCTGGTTATACCAATGGACCTGGATTTCTAGCTCCATTCAGATCCACTAGGTACCACTTAAAAGAGTGGGTTTCAAGTCAACAGTAGCCTAAAACTCCCAAAGAGTTATATAACTTGCGTCATTCTCGTGCTAGAAATGTTGTGGAAAGAACTTTTGGTTTGTGGAAGAAAAAATGGGCAATCTTACGTTCTCAAAGTTTCTTTGATATAAAGGACCAGGTAACAAATGTGTACATATGGTGAAAAAATCAATCTCAATTGCAAGTGCTAACTACAAACTAATATTATTGCACATCCGAATTATTAATGCTTGCTGTGTGCTACACAACTTTATAAGAGATAGACAACACCAAATGGATGATTTATTGCTACCCGAAGTGGATGATGAACTAGCAGCTATGGCCAATGAGTCTATAGATGATGCTACCTTAATTACAAGTGTTCAAGTTACTACTGAATGGAACACCTTTAGGGACCAGCTAGCTAATGACAAGTTTGCTGAATACCTTGTTAGGCATGGTGAACTAGAGATGGAGTAGGTTGTGAAAAATCAAAGCATACTTTCACTTAATTATAAAGTGTGTGAATAGATGTAATGCTAAAAGAGTATAGTACTCAAGTAACACACTAGCATTCTTTTGTGATAGCTAGCTGATGGTGCCTTTTGTGATATTTTGGAAATGCATCATCCTAACACATGGCACTTGTTATCCTTTACTTATAAGCAATAGATTGCAACTTTCAAGCCCTTTTGAAATGCTAAAGAGAGTTTACCTCAGCCATTATGGACAGATGAGATGGGCCACGAACACTTGCCCACCTTGCTCCTATCAATCTCTGGGCCTGCTAACCGATGGTGCCTTTTGATATTTTGAAATGCATCATCCTAACACATGGCATTTGTTATCCTTTTGTTGAGCATCACAACAATGGTGACCACTCCCAAAATGGATGGAAGCCACATGTCTTGTTGAGCATCACAACAATGGTGACCACTCCCAAAATGGATGGATCAAGAATGCTGCTATCAAGAATGTACGTGACAAGTGCAATATGGACATCACAAAAGAAAACATATCATCTAGGTGCAAACTTTTGACAAGCACTATGAGGTCATTAGTAAGATACTGTCACAAAGTGGTTTTGATTGGGATTGGGAAAATAATAAGCTATCAATTGATAGTGAGGATGTCCTGGTCTAGATATGTGGTAGTAAGTACATGGATATTTTGTTTCTCATTGTTTTACTTTTATAATAAGACAAGTCACTTGTACCGTGTCTTTATTTTGTGAAGAATAACAAGGCTGTTGCTTGTTACAAGAACAAGGTGGTGAAGAATTGGGATGCCATCAGCACTATTTATTCTATAGATCATGCCAATGGTGATGGTGCCAAGACAGCTGCTGAGAGTGCACAAGATTCATCTGAAGAATGTAGTGAAGCATCCCCAGATTTACCACAAAAAAGGCAACGAACTGGTGAAGCAATTCTTTGCATGCTTGGAGATATGAAGACTTCATTTCGAGATGCTCTAAAATCCACCGAGCCATTACCATTGCCTCAGGTCACTTCTCCTGCTAAAATACTTGTTGCACTTGAACAAATACCAGATTTAGCTAGATGTGACCTTTTGCGAGCTTATGGGAAGCTGATCCTTAATGAGCATTTATTCCAAGCGCTTATGGAACTACCTATGGAATTCGGGAAAGAATGGCTCCTTACGTTGGATTAGAGCAATGGTGGCTGATTAAGAGATGTAATGTACGCTTGCTGTTATGTAATATGGAACTGCCTACTGCCTATGTACGCTTGCTGTTATGGCCCCTTTGAAAATAGGTGTTGTGAAATGTTGTGGCGCTTGCAAGAGAGTTGGATTATTGATCATCAAGTATTGACTCTATAATAGATGCTTGTGATCAACATTTATGTGCTGTTGTCATCGATTATTTTTCATATTTTTAATGATATTATTTCAGTTTCTACTATTTTTTGAATATTTTCATTTTTTTTTTGTGTAAAGTGATAATATAATCATCCAATAAATATGCAAGTTGTGAAATACATATTACAATGCATTTACAATGCATTTACATAATTGTAGACAACCCAGACTATAATTCAACGTTTATACATCCAAACAGGAATTGGAATTGGTTGATTCCAGCTATCAACTACTTGCACATCCAAACAATAGCATTGGTATTTGAGGCCATTTCCAATTCCCCTCAGCTTTGGTATTCTGGGCCAATTCAATTCCTCGATCTGAATATCTACATCCAAACAGAGTCTAAGTTAAATCCAACACAGGTAATGAGGCTATCAGATCCAATTAATCACTCATCTTTCTTTCTCAATCGAATCGATGAAAAAGTTTATTTTGATTTGCAACCTCAACTCCTCAAATTACACATATGTAGAGAGCAGTAGAATAAAAAAAACATACAGCTAGCTAAATGCTTGTGTTTAATTTAATTACTACTCACAAAACGCACAAATGACCATATATTGGTACTTACATGCTTGCCAGAAGTAGCTGACCCTAGCTAGTGCCTGTCGATCCTGGACATGCCGATCAAGGGGGACGCCCCCGTGGAGTAGTAGTACGTCGTAGTAGTAGTTGCAGTGCCGCCCGCGACCGACGGCGACGACGAAGACGACGGCGTCGTCGGCAGCCGGCGGCGGAAGACCAGGCCGGAGACCCGCACGGCCACGAAGACCGCCGTGCCGATCTCTACAGCCATGTCAACGACCTCTTGCAGCCTGCGGATGCTTCTTCTCATCATCACTCGAAGCAGGACCTGGACCACGAAGTCCATGGACGCCATGGTCGGCCGCCTATCTAGGTATCAAGCTAGCTCTCTTTGGTGCTCTTTCTTCTGCGTTGAAGTCGATCGAGCATGCGTAGAGTCGTCTCCAGGTGTGGAGAGGTAGCTAGCTCACGGGCGGCGTGTGTTTTGGGCGGGCAGAGCCGGCAGGTGGCTTGTTTTTGTCAAGTACCTTGTAAAATATTGATGGGCTTGAAAGCAACATGGATCTACCATCTCATCGTACATAGCACGTACGTACTATGCGCGCATTATTTAGTTTCGAACGAAGAAATTAAATTAACCAGCTTTTGTAAAATGTGGTTTATTACTCTAGTCATTTTCAAAATCATTTAATTTATAAGGTTATTAATTAGTACGCCGCCATTTGTTGAACAATATATAGCTCGACATCTAGAGATGGGTGCATGAAATCACGATATATGTGTGGCTCCAAAAGGACTATAATTTGTTTTTTAAGAAATGATGGATAGATAGGCAGGAAAGCTACGCCGGCCTTTAATTATACTGATGATGAGGAAGAAAGGACCATGATATATTTAAATTTACTCAATATATAGAACCTATTTGGTATAGCTTATAAGTGGTTTATTATGACTAAAATAAACCGAAACAGAGTTTCAAAAAAAACCGAAATAGGAACCAATCAGTGTGTGTTTTTTAGCTTTTTTCTAACCATGCTTCTTATGGCATCCCATGTTTATAATAAAACATAGAAATTGAGTCAGAACAACATATTTCCACCATGTTTTTCTTATTCTTTTTTTTAGGAATACCATGTTTTTTTCTTCAGTATAGCTTCTGACGGGAGCGTTTTTTCTAACTGCTCTACCGAACAGACCAATGCAGGTCAATTACAACGGCTCTGCTAGGCTCTAGCTAGCTGGGCACTAGCCCAGTACTATGCACATGGAAGATACCGCGTAAATCAGATCCAGGCATGCATCCAGGTCGCATTTTATGTCGTCATCGGTCATCTCGATGTTCACATAGTTTGCTGCTTGTGAAATGGAATGGACCATATGGCTGTCAAAAGTGATATATGACCATGTAATTAGGCACGCATGTTGGCTCACAGTTGATTAATAATATAATAATAAACCATTGGGACCAACTGTGGTGAAGAATTAGAGGGTGTGCTCATATTTTTCTAGATTTATTTTAGGATTTGTGGTGTATTTTCCAGTGATAGATGATAATATCTATTGACAAAGAGACACATGTGGTGATTTCGTCGATTTTGCAATATATCGGTTCAGTCTTTATCATGTGCTCATCATAAGATAAGTGTGGGTACTTGTATGTGATTTTCTGCGTCGTCTATACTGCAATTAAAAGAACAAAAAAATTATGCATAATGGCATTCTCAATTTAAATTAAATACCGTTTAATAAATAAAAGTATATATATGGGTAGAATTATATAAGAATAATACGCACTCAGTAAAGCATGGAATCATGCAGCAGCGGGACGTACAAAATTCTCTGAAAATATTTGAAAATGAAATGCCTCCATGCATGGTCCATGCACGGATCCATGAATAATGCGCGTCACCTGCGAGACGACAGGGATTTGCAACATGATGTGCTCATTGCCATGTGATGATACACTGTGTATAACTGGTGGTCATAGATCCATCCATCGACAGGCAATACAAGATGAAAACTGCAGTGTGTTCCATGAAGCGTGCATGCGCCAACATAGTTCGAAACCGTCGTGTCGGTGAGCGCAAAAGAAACACTAGCTAATAAAGGCCACTTTCCAATGCAATGCATTTTATAGTTATTTCTTAATTACGCATATATAGAGCTATCTTTGTGACATGCATGGCACGGAGCACAAGCTATATATATCGCCACTAAGATATATAAGCTTTTCTGCCCGGGCCTCTCCTTTAACTCTATGCCATATCATCACCACCACCACAACATAGTCTTTCAGTCTCAAGTAAGTTAAGATAGGCTAGAGTTAAAAGCCACCAAAAGCCCCAAGTCATGGTTCAGACACTTCAATAGCTGCTTTCCAAGTACTCATATTCAAACATAGATCTCTAGGTATATTCCAAACTTTCAAAATCTCTTTTTATTGCCTCTCCCTATGTCAATTTCGGTCTTCTTCTACCTCTCCTCATATTATTAGCTTGGCTTAGGACTCCACAATGCACTGGTGCCTTTGGAGGTCTTCTCTGGACATGGCCAAACCACCTCAACCGATGTTGGACAAGCTTTTCTTCAATTGGTGCTACCTCTAGACGATCACGTATATCATCGTTCCGAACTCAATATATTCTTGTGTGACCGCAAATCCATAGCAACGTACACATTTCTACAACACTATCATCACCAAAAAGAAAAAAAAACATGTGACACTGTGTGTTGAGGTGCATAATAATAACACAATGCACTTAATAAAGTAGTCTAATTAAGCAAATAATAAAATAAACTATAGTCAGGAAGATATGATTAATTTCAAAGCAAGTACAAAAACCTATACAAAAAAGAAAAATGACGGCCCAAAAGCCGTCAAATTTTGTTTAGAACAATGGAAAAGATGAACAATAATGTATATAAAAATCCCTGTGCTCTAGGTGACTTTTGAGGATGATAAATATTGTAATCTTTAGAATTCCCGTACCGTCCAGTATCGTTTTCGTAAAAGTTCAATCTTAGCGAACTACGTATAAAAGTTCCCATTATTCACAACTGATTTAATAAGTTCAGAATCATTTTCTTATTTGTTCATTTTTACAAGTATTGGAAAATCATATTGTGGTAGTATATCTTTGCCGGTCGTTCTCGTTGCTCTGGCACCGCGCAGCTAATATAACACCTGTTGATTCCTGAATTGTTCGAGAATTCTAGCCGTGGGGATAAAAACCAACAGGGCCAAGTCAGGGAGCACATCAGCAGCAGATGGCGTTTGGCGAGTGTGATGCAGGCAGCAGGAGAGAACTGACTGATCGATGAGATGACGGACGATGTGGGGCCAGGATGAGGACATGATGTGCTCATCGCCGAGGCAGTGGGCACGCACCCCTAGGCGCTACTGGCTTTCGTTCCTGTTCCCGTCTTGTGACGACGGACGTACGGAGCGCTAACCCCAGGGTGTCGACACTTCCTCGCTGTGGTGTTCCCATCCGTCACGACAGCATCGTCTCGGTTTTTTTTTGGTTTGCTTGTTTTTGGCTTCCAACAACTCTTCCGCAGATTTTGAAATAATAAAACATACTCCTACTCCGTGCTTCCTCTTCACCAAAATAAGTATCGCTATAGTATTCGTGCCGATCAAATTTTTTTTATGTTTAACTAGATTTATAAAAAGTATTAGCAACATTTATATCTCCAAATAATTTTATTATAAAAATAGATTCGACGATCTATCTAAAGATACTAAATATACTATAAATATTAATATTTTTTCTTATATATATTAAGTCAAAGTTAAAAGTATTTGACTTATCGAGAAGCGAGAACGACACTTATTTTTGAAATTAAAGAGTACATGATGGCAATAATTGACCACATGATAAGGATTTAACCTTGTCTTGAAGCATAACTTCTTAAATTCCCTAGTCACCGGTGGTGTCCTAGTATCAGATGGTGGAGATGGTTCGACATCTCCACCATCAACAATTAAATATTGAGGAGGCAATTTGAACCACCATGTCAAGCGTGAATCTACCACCAGTGAGAGAAGCGATCCCCATCCACACCAACGACCTTAACAACCACATGTGAGGCTCCATCATATCCATTGTAACTAACAGCGATGGAAAGACGAAAAACATTGGCTAGGGAACTTCATCCACAACTAAAGGTGATTGGCATCCTCCAAGAGCAACAACCAAGGGTAGGGCTTAGAGTTAGACAACATTAGAAGGACCTTCAAAGGTAGGGCATGAAGCAGCGATAAGCACCCCTAACACCGCCTTAAGGCTAGGCAACAATGACATTAGGTCTTCATAGACCACAAGCTCATCAGCAGTGAGAGTTCTCACACCACACACCCAATCGAGTCAAACCATCACCTCCTTTGCTATTGCCAACTAAACAATTGGTGACGGCATACTTCCACAGTCAATGGTGATGAAGCACTACCAAGAACAATCGTTGGGGCATTGAGTTGGAACTTGAAATGGATTGCTAAGGTAGGGCATGGAGCAATATTTCATACAACCTAGCCTCCGTCTTGAGGTGGGTGGGGGTAGCAACGACTACATCAGGTCATCATACAATACATGTTTATCGATCGAGAGGAGCATTATCTCATATGCCAAACCGATATGAAACAACACCTCCTTGGTGATTTTCAGACGGTTTGCAGGTGACATAAGCTCTTTCAGCTGAGAGGAAGAGAGAACAACATAAGGGATACTCAAAGAAGTGGCAACAACGATATTCATTCCATTTTCCTCCATGAAAACGACCACAAGAGATTTAAAAGCTAGCGGTAAGGGAGAACATGATGGGGGCAAGAAAAGCATGAAGAAATTAGATGACGAGGTGACCGCCCTTGCTATCGTCATCAACGATGATAGTTATCGCACCAAGAACTTGCACCATCATAGTAGGAATTGGCGGCTGGCAGAGCAGCTTTGCGTAGGGCTACCTAGAAGACAATGCAACAACTAGTGGGGACAAGGGTGACTACATGCAAAGGGAGGTAGAGGACACATGGAAGGAGTTGGGCATTAGCAAGGGGGCCATGATGGTTAGTGATTCGCCTATTGCGCCATCAGACCCCAAGTTTTCCCTAACAATTTTTAAAATAATAAGAAAAATGCACAAGTCACTACTACCAGAATGATCATAGGAGATCGACAAGATATTCTATTTTTAGAGACGGACACTTTTAGCCGTTGCCTCTGTAAATCAATAGGGAGCCATCTAGACAAAGACCGCCGCTGAAAATGATTTACAAAGACAGGCTTCCTAACGTGGTTGTCTTGGAAAATGGGTCGGACTCATTTCCAGAGGTGTACCCCTTATGAGGTCTGCCTC